ATACCTTTTCTCATCAGAAGTATATAGCAGTCCTGTGACTTCTATCAGTGTCCATCCGAGCACTGGTTAATCTTTTAGAAGGAGTTTTAATTCTCCTCTGACTGTCTTATTAGGCAGCACAACCCCTGAGCTGCTGTCTGGACAGCGCTGATTGGCCCTATGCCGATCACATGCAACCTCCCAAAAAAAGTTCTCTAGCAATACACACCAAACAGAGCATGTGCAGACTTGCCACTGCTGCTCTAACTATGGCAGATGGTTTGGGGACAGCAAAAGAATAGGAAGGATCCAAAAAGACAGGATCAACCAGCCTTTTTACACAAAGCAGAGGATTAACCCCTTCAGTTCCACAAAAATACTTTACTGCATATACAGACTGATTTTGCTGTTGTGGGTTTTGTGACACTAAGTTGTCCTGCCTGCAAAAATAAAAATGACCACTAGACTGAATGGGTAATACATTTACAGTTTTACAGAAACTAGAGACTGTTTAGATAAGAGTTAATAAAAATTCCCATAATTCTAAGAGAAAGGAAGGAGATGCATCTTGGGAGCTCAGACTCCATCTTTGACACTGGGAGAGAAGGAGCCAGCTATAGGAGCACATGTTGAACTAAAACTTGCATCCTTTTGCATCCCCTAAAGGTGGCATCGCTGGTGAGAATCACTTATCACCATCTATAGTCTAACTATTCATTGTGTTTTCTGTATAAAAAGAAAGTCGGTAATGCTCTGCTCTTCAAAATAAGAACCTCTCATGAGCTGGATAACCCACTACTATGGATACAGAGTTGGCATTGCAGCTATCCAGATACTCCACTGGGTGGCAGAAGATAATCTGAATAAAAACAACAAAACAGCAAAGAGCATACAGCCGCCCTAGCGTAACTCCGTTTTAATCTGTTATAAAAGCTTAAAAACAATTGCACTCACGTGATTCAAAGATTCATAGGCATGTAAATCTGTGTTTGGTTCTCCTTGGCTCTTCTCCAGGGTGCAGCAGTAAGGCAAAGGGAGAGACAGGGTGATGACAGATCTCCCCAGGATGATAGCTCACAGTTCACGGCATACAGCCGCTACTGCGCATGTGCCCGGGCCAAGCAGGCGCATGCAGCATTGTGTTTTCTGTATTTTCCTGCATTGATTAAATTTACTTTTTTTTTTTTTCAAATTATATTTTTATTATAGTTTTACACCAGAAAAAGGAAAAAGGAAGAAAAATGAGTCCTTTTCTTTTTCATTATACAATCTTAAATTCAACCAGCCATTAATATTATGGGAGCATCACCATAATACTTATACAACTCATATGACTATCATATACGCCTCATATAATTATTATATTATTATGAATATATGATCTTCCGTTTTTTCTTAAGAGTTTCACCCCACCCCGGTTTATTAATAAAGCTTCAAGATTACATTCAGTCTGACATATTGCTGAATAAGAGGATTAAGCTACATGTTGATTTACACGTAGGGAAATGTGTAGCGAGAACAGAACACATTCCATGTGACAGATATTACCAGCTAATGTTTTTATGGATACATTTTTGGTCACGTCAATAAACCATTGATTTTATGAGAGCAGCAGGATAAACTTCAACTGAGGTATATGTTTCCTAAAGAGAGAAAGTAAAGTAAGGAGCTAAATGATTAGCTTCCTTCCTTATACTGACCTCACTGCCCCATTCACCTACTTGAGAAAGTATAAATGAAAAAGCCGTATGTAAGCTCTAATGCAGGCCATTCATGGGTCGAATTCCAAAACAATTTTCTTTAGAAATTACAAAAGTTTGTGCGTTTTGTAATCCGATGGCACCACCATTGATTTCGAAATTCGAACAACCAAGCCTTCAGTTTCACATGTTGCTACAGAAAAGAATTTTCGTGGCCAAGAATTTTCTTTTCTTTCCAGGTCACAGCTCACGCTCATTTCTTTTTTGACTACATTTCTCACACGATTCTCCCATCATTGAACAGAAACTCACCCGTTTTTCAAAAAAATTCCAACTTGCCCGATCACTCAAATTCAATGGTCGCTCGAAAATCGGCCATTGCTTTGACCTACTAATGGTGTGAAATTCAAACGAAAATCTTAGAAAAGATTTTGAAAGAAAATTCTTTTGGAATTCGACACGTGTATGGCCAGCGTAAGTTGATCCGATTGAGGTTTACACAGAGCTAAGAACCCTCACCCCCATCTATGTGAACTTTTGGGTCAAACAATTGACTGCTTAGGCATTTAGTAGTGGGAGGAATGAGAGTCACATGCAAGGGGAGGACTGACAACTCATGGGGCCCCCGGGCAATAGGGGATCATGGGGCCCCTGTTTCCTTGTCCAAACTCAAAAAAGCCTATGAAAAAAGTACCAGGGGCATCTCATGGCGCCCCCTACTGACCCCGGGCCCTCCGGCAGTGCCCGAGTTTCCAAATGGTCATTCTGCCCCTGGTCACATGTTCCCCCCAAACTAGAAGAAAAGGGTATGGCCTCAAGAGAGCAAAGTATTAAGTGAAGCTATTATTTTGCACTTCATTATCATGGTTCAGATTCAGCACTGGTCGGCCAGTGGGGTTGATTTAGTCCCAAATAGGCAAATAGACTGTTCACTTTGCAAAGGAAGTTTCACTTTTAAAGGGAATTTACCCAGAGCTTAGTGAACGAAGTGAAGCTCTGCTGACTTCCAAGGGCCAATCGTGTGAAAGTGAAAATCTTTTTTTTATTTTTCTTGCATGGGATTTTGTATCCTTTGCAATGAGACCTTTCACAATGTTCACTAAGCTCTGGGGAAAATTCCCTTGCATGGTGCAACTTTCTTTGAAAAGTGAACAGCCTATTAGGAAATCAACCCCAGTGTCTCTGTCTGAGCACAGATCCTGCCAAGCTTGTGTCGTCTCCCTTCAGCTGTGTTCAAAAGCCTGTAGCCTGAGGAAGCTGGATGTAAGTATCACACAGGTTTCAATAGCAACTTAGATTGGGACAGTGGGGAAAAAGTAGTTAGCTTTAGTCCTCATGCACACTGGATGTTTTTACAGCTACTGTTTTTGGCTTTTGACGTTTTTTTCTACGGCTAGTAAACCCCCCAGCATGTTATCCTATGTGTCCATGCACACATAGACTGTAATCAACGTTTTTTGGCAGGGGCGTTTTTTGGCTGGAAACAAAACGCAGAATTAGTGGGTTTCTAGAGTTTTTTAGCTGTAAAAATGCTCTAATGCTGAAAAAAAACATGGCAAAACACAGTAAAACGATGTAAATCGCCGCATACCAGTGTTTTTTGGAAGTTTTTTGACCAAAAAAAACCTCTAAAAAAACGCTATAAAATGCAAATGTGAAAAAATGCTAATACAAAAATGCTAAAAAAACGCTGAAAAACTCACGTTTTTAACATTACTGTACACAGCTAATGTTACCAGCGTTATTAAATCGCCCAGTGTGCATGGAGCCTTAAAATGTAAACTGGGACACTACAACATTCCACAACTTCACGTAGTTGTATGTACAAGATATTTAAAACATGTACAAAATGCATAGCAAATCATAATTATGTTTATCTCTGACAAGCAACTCAGTCATCACATCACATAATGGCACACACCTGCATTTATTATCTATGTTAGTTATATATGCGTTTTAACCTGAGAGGTAGTGGAGTGTGACGTTCTTTTCCTTTTCATTCATAGGTACTGTATATATAATTTGCATACTTTTTCCCACAATGTTGCAGTCAATAGTAGTATGCCTACAAATATGATCTAGTAGTAGTCATATGTACAAACATTGGAAGGAAATTCCAAGCTTGCTCTGATGAAAAGGAAAGGGGATCATAGCAATTGGCTAGATGCGCACCTTTCTCTTTTAAGCCATGGTTTGGGCAGAGTACAGATATACAAAGTTTCCCATTCCTGCCATTGGATGCACATTTGCAGTTTTTGTAGGTACATTTAGTAAATACATTTTATTGCTCTGGTAATTAAATAAACTCTGGCTAAGCACAGTACATAAGCATGGGTTTGTGCCTTTGTCCCAGGGCTACTTTTAAATGTCAGTTTGGTCTTGAGCTCAGGGGCGGACTGACAACTCATAGGGCCCCCAGGCAATAGGGGATCATGTGTCCTTGCCCAAACTCAAAAAAGCCTATGAAAAAGGTACCAGGGGCATCTCATGGGGCCCCTTAATGACCCTGGGCCCTCGGGCAGTGCCCGAGTTTCCAAATGGTCAGTCCGCCCCTGCTTGAGCTAATGCATATTTCCCCAGTACTGTATAGAGGTGAGCCTTATTTGTTTTAGAGGTGACTCTTATATGCATTCCAAAGAAGACACCATCCATACACTTTCATGAACTATCCAATAAGCCAGCAGTCATTAAATGGCAAACCGCGGTCCGAACATGGACCGAGCGACAATCCTGTCCGGACCGTCAGCCTGCCAGTCTAAAATGCCAGATCCCCACCACCACTCAGCAGTCATTGGTTGCTGGAACGCCCAATGTCATCACGTGTGTGCCCCGCCCCCTGCTGCTTGCTATCGCTCCCGGCTCCCAATGCCTTGTCCCTACCTGCCTGCAAGCTATAGTCACTTGTGAACCATGCCCTGCTCCCTTCAACAAGGCTCTCCGTGCAGCTCCCACCCCCTGCAGCTTGCTTCCTCTGCTGTCTCCAGTTCCCTGCCTGGCCTCAAGGTACAAAATGTGAGTACTTCAGAAAATCACAGGGGCATGCTGATGAACAGTTTATGTTAAGGGGCACACTGACGGGCAAATTTTTTTTTCGTTAAAGGGTACACTGATGGACACTTTACATTAAGGGGCACACTGATAGGCACATTTTATGTTAAAGTGCATGCTGATGGACACAACAAAATGTGCCCATCAACGTGCCCCTTGACATAAAATACTGTATGTTCATCAGCATGCCCCTTTAACATATCATGTGCCTATCAGTGTGCCCCCTAACATAAAGTGTTCATCAGCATGCCCCTTAGCATAAAACAAGGAGGAGCAACTGATGGGCATTTTATGTTAAGGGGGCACTCTGATGGGCGTATATTGTGGAAAGGGGCACTCTGATGGGCACACACAATGTAAAGGAGCACTTTAATGGGAAATATGATGGAAAAGGGTACTTTGATAGGGACACCTGATGTAAAGGGGCACTCTGATAAGGAAAATTGATGTTTATGGGGACACCCAATGTAAGGGGCCACTGTCATGGGGTAACCTTATGTAATGGGGCACTCCGATAGGGACAACTGATGTATGGGGGCACTCTGCCACCTTACATCAGGTATTCCTGTCAGAGTGCCCCCTTACATCAGGCGTCTTCATCAGAGTGTCCACCTACATCAGGTTTCTGCAGCAGAAGGCCCCCATACATCTGGTGTCTCCCATCAGTGTACTCCTTTACATCAGTCATCCCCATCAGAGTGCCCCATTATATAAGGTTCCCCCATCACAGTGACTCCTTACATAGGGTGTTCCCATCACAATGCCCCTTATATTAGGTGTTGCCATCAGAGTGCTCCTTTACTTCAGATGTCCCCATCACAGTGCCACCTTACCTCAGGTATTCCCGTCACTGTAATGGGGACACCTGAAGTAAAGGAGCACTCTGATGGCAACGCCTAATGTAAATGGACAATCTGATGGGAACACTCTGTGTAAGGGGTCACTGTGATGAGGAACCTTATATAATGGGACACTGATGGGGACAAATGATGTAAGGAGGCATACTGATGGGTGACACCAGATGTTAGGAGGCGCTCTGACAGGAATACCTGATGTAAGGTGGCACTCTGATGGGAACACATTACCTAACGGGGCACTCTGATGGGGACACCTGATATAAGTTGTTACAAATGATAAATTTCTAATTTTTTGATAGACATACAGTGACTGCAATCTATCTGAGTCATAGCACAAACTTGAGATTCAGACCTCGGCCGGAAGAAAGTTTTAGTTACCAGACCTCCTTGAATTTTAATGCAATACCTCTGCTATAAGTCATTTTTGTACTATTAACTCATAATCGTACTGGATTTCCTGTATAAACTTTATCCCTTTCATTAAACAAAGTATTATTTTTATTTAAACTGTAGTTATGTGTAATCAGTGTAGATAAACTGCTCATATGTAACTTAAATAAGCTCTGTCACCTTAAGGCAATACTAAAATCAAGCTTAAAAGATAGAGTTATCAGTAAGAGATATGGAAAGTGTTCAAAGACCTATATTAAGGTCATACTATCTAAAAGAAAAGGGAGAGAGCAGCAAAGAGAGAGAAACTTAAAACACTTCCCAAATGCACTTCTCGGGTTTTCAGAACACAGAATTGTGCTATCAATAATAATACAGCAAGTGAACAGCTAAAATCTTCAATAAAAGAAAGACTCCTAGGAAATAACATGTATTAATTGGGTCAAGCTGAACTCACATACTACTAAACCATATAATAAAAGTATCACAAACACAGAACTATGGTTTAACAAGGGGTCAGCTTTCATCTTTATTTTTCAAAAAATTCAAACCGTCGGTTTTTAAACTTTGTCAGTAAAAAAAACAGGTAAAAAAATAAATGTCAAACATTTTGGGCATGCAATTTAACATGATTTTAACTATAATGTCAAAGAAACCCTACTCTACTAAAACTGTAAAATAACAATTTAGGGAGAAATGAGAAACTGTAAAATAACAATTTAGGGAGATATGAGAGAAAGTAAGAGAACAAGTTAAAGAGGATATTCACGCTTATGTTAAAAATGACAACAAATACACTTTAGAACCTATGTAGTAATGGCAATCTACAAACATATTTAACACAAAACACATATTTAAAGATAACTGTAGACTTTTTATTCATTGCATTCCTTATTTTTCTTTTTCTTCCCTTTCTTCCTGTAGTGGCCATTTTAACTTGAATCCATCTCCTTTTACTTCCTCGAACACTGTCTGGAACTCTGGGTCTGCTGTGTTTTGGCGGTTTTCTTACCCACACTTATTTACTTGGTTCTATACAGATTATAAATGTAATAAGTGATTATAACCCTTTGTCTATACCTGAATTTAGCCAATAGTGTTAATATTAAAAGATAACCACTGTGCAAAAAATAAAGATCTAATTTATTTACAAAGCAAGGAAGCTTTCTATTAATCAAATACAACAAAAAATATAATACAGAATGTTACCTATACAAAGACTACAAGAGAGAGATAGTTACAAGAAAAAGACAGAGGAATGGTGATACATTACAGCATCCTGATGTTCTGAGGTCTGTGCTCTGGAAGGCACATGGCACGAAAAGGGCAGGGCTCTTTTGTTTTAGCTGTTTTATACACTTTCCAAAAGACCATCCCTAAACCCACCCACCCAAGTAAATCACACCTCAAATGGGTGGGCTTCAGAGCAATGGTTAGTTTAAATAAATGAAAGAACAGGAAATTCAAGTTGCCTTCCATCCCCCTCAGCTCCATTGAGTCTTTTGTAGTGTAATCCCCCAACAGTCAATAACCTTCATGAAGATGTAGGCCCAAAATTGCCATTACAGCTGCATGTGACAGGATCTTCCCAGGATGCATCTGTAGGGCCCTGATGACTTCATCAGTGTCCCACTATACCAGAAATTGAAAAACAATAATTGTAGGTAAAAGATAATTAAATTTGAAGGATAAGTTCACCTTTCCTAACATGTTACATCCTTATTCAGGGTGTAATATGTTACGTTCAGACCGGCCCCCACTCCCCCCCAATCCCTGCTTTGACAGCTATCTGGGAATCTTCTCCCCCTCACTAGCTGTCACATAAAAACATAGGCGTGCAGGGCTCCGCCCACACAGCCATGTCACACATTCACAGTACTCTTGGAAAGAGAGACTACAAGTCCTGACAGCTTTAGCGGCTGTCAGCTTTTAGTCCTCAATGAACTACCACGGCACTGTGAAGCACTGTGGTAGTTCATTCATTCTTCCTTTTCAGGATATCTGATTGCTCGTACATCCCATATGGAAAGCAGATATCCTGACAGGTCTGCAGGAGACCTGTATGGCATGAGCGATCTACTGATCGCTGGTGCAATGCTTTCCAGGCTCCTGCAGACAAAAATAACAAATGCACAATTTTTTACTGGGAAGATTCGCCTTTAGTAAATGTATGGTGAATGTCAGATTCACTGCTTTAATAATAAACCCAATAATATTTTTTTTATTCCCATAGTTGCAACAGGCCTGTACCTTGTGGCCAGTGATCATATATATATATTTTAGCAGAGACCCTAGACAATAAAATGGTGGTCATTGCAATTTTTTATGTTGCACGGTAGTTGCACAGCAATTATTCAAAAGCAATTTTTTTGGCAAAAATAAACTTGAAAAAATTTTAATGCACAAAAACACAATATATAACCCATTTTTTTGTAAAATATAAAAGATGGTGTTACGCCGAGTAAATAGATACCAAACATTCAACACAACAGTCTCTCGGCGTCTGTGATAAATCCTCAAAATGATATACATGCTCCCAAAATATAATCCACCTTCATGGAAACATTTCTTTTAATCCGTGTAAACCTCAAAAGAAGAAAATTCAATATAGTGCATTATCCCACATAAATACAAAAATATCATATAATCACCCTGTGTCACCCCACTTAGTGTCCACATCTAAATGGCTGTTATGAACACCATTACCCTATCAAAGCTTGTGCAATATCCTTTTGGAAACAAAAAGTGCTGCCCTTATATTCACGGTATAGGTGTAAATGTGAAATACACTCCCCGTCACCTTACACACCATGCACCTTACCAGACTAAACACTTGATTAAGCATAGTACATAGGCCATGTACAGAATGCCTTGTATTATTTAATGTATACAAGGCATTCTCTGAGGTAGTGAGGTAAAGAGGTTAAGTCACAATCTCCACCTTCTCCAATCAGAGGATGCTTTGTATTCACTGAAAAAATTATAATGCATTTTGTGAATGGCATAAGTGCCGAGCGAGTTACCCCCTTTGGTCAGTGTGCAAAAAAGCTACTCGACACAGGATCCAGAAGATCTGAGCAATCACTGTATTAGCTTTGTTCAAAAAAAAATGTACAACATTTAAATATTAAAATTAAAAAAAATAAGAATGCATATACAGTATAATGAATGCAGTCAATGCACAGGACAATGCAAAACATATAACAAAATACATATAGGACTATGCTTTTTTCCAAACAAAGAAAAAGTAATGTAGACTAATAACAATAAAAAAAAACTCCTAGTATTTAAAAATAAAATGACAAAGAAAGTATATCATAAAAGAGAAGAACCAAGAGCAGTGCACCTCTTGGTTGTTTGATTAACATCAAGCTGTGCCCCTCAAAAGACTCAGAGAAAAGAATTTTATGGTGGGTACAAAAGTAAATTATTCCTCTATTGTCCATAGAGAGACACAGCTTGATGATAATTAAGCAACCCTTGGACATCCAAAAGCAGTCCAAACAGAGGGAAAATCACACCAAAGCAAATAGAGGTAAACCAGTCCAAGTGGAGAAAAACAAGGGAAACCAAGGGCATGAAACAACCACTTGTAGAACCTAACAACCAAAAACTAGCATCTGTGGAGGCAGACAATTCAACCTTGCAAAACATAGAGAGGTATGAACAGAAGACTAGGTTGCAGCCTTACGAATCTCAGACATAGAGACTTGAGGATAAGAAGTCCAAGAAACTCTGACTGTCCTAGTGGAATGGGCTTTAACAGATAACATGAATGCTCTATCTCCCAACTCATAAGCCTGCACAATAAATTGACTAATCCACCTAGAAATAGTGGATTTTGAAACTGTAAAATGGGATCAGTCTGCCTAAGAGAAAATACCATCTCTCAGAACCAGAGTTTTACCAATCAGTCCATCAAAGCCAGGTAACAAGAAGCAGGGTGGATGTTTGCTCCATGAGATAATAGATCTGGCCAATATGGTAAAGGCTACAGAGTGTCAGCTCACAGACAAACAAGGTTGACATCAGGGGCGGACTGACCATTCGAGCACTCGGGCACTGCCCGAGGGCCCGTTGTCAGTAGGGGG